ATTCGAGCCTCGGCTACCCGTCTGATCTTTTGTACCTGAGATCTGCATACACCTGAGGTGACAGTTCTATGATTCCGACAATAAATCTTCAAGATTTAGAAACAGAATGTACCACAAGCACTCTCATAGAATGACCCCTCCAGAATCTTTCAACTTTGAGCCAATTTATCTCGGTTCCTGTGAATGATATGAAAAAGTGATCAACTGATAATCACTTATCAAAATGTCACTAATATTTTGTTAGTTGACCACTTTTTTCTATCTTTTACAGGAAGTGAGATAAATGGGCTGAAAATGAACGTATACGGTTGGCTTCGAACATTTACGGTAATTTGCAAAAAAAAAAATTCTGAAAATTTGGAAAATAGAGTCTAGCAGATGAAATAGTAATAATAATAATAATAATAATAATAATAATAATCTTAAGCTGATGCGGAAATTGATGAAGAAGAAGTGATATACTGAATTAATGTCAAGGAATACCCCAAATATTTGGGTATGCATTATGTGCGGGAATGTGCAATGCTCTCACTTATATACACAAACAACTCGGCGGCGGACGTTTTGGATTCTCTTTGAAGGAAACGGTTTTGGGTCGAAGGAGAGAGAGAGAGTGAGCATATAAGCATATTCTCTCCCATATCAAGTACTCGAAACGGGAATGTGTGAATATTTTAAACAACGATCTGTAAGCATTACTTCTTTCTCGCTCTCGCCCCATTTTGTATGCTTTGGCCGTACCAAAAAAAAAGAGGTGTTTGTATACTGACACTGTACTAAATATTGTGTACGAAAATTACGAACAGAAAATTGAACAAAAAATGCGGGGGGAAATTTGGGGAACGGGTGAATAACAACGAAAATTGTACAACTGGTGTTATTCAGAATAGCTGAGGGACATCTGGATAAACAGACACATCGAATGAGTTCTAGTTTTTTTTGTTTTGCGAAATTTAGAAAATGCAATTCAAATAATGCCAAAAGTCTAGGAAAATCTGGAAAGTTTAGAGAAGTCAGAAACATGAAAATTCTAATGATTATCAAGCTTGACCCAATTTAACTTGGTTCCTGTGAAAGATATCAAAAATGTGTGACAGGATAAAATAATTATCACAAAATCAGCAATATTTTATTAATTGACAACTTTTTGGTATCTTTCACAGAAATCGAAATAATTGGGTTCAATGTTAATGGTGCGGGGCCGCCAAGTTTGACCACATCTATCTCGGTTCCTGTAAGAGGTAGCAAAAAGTTGTCAACTGATATTATGTTTGTCACAATATAAAAAAAAATTTTATTAATTAACCACTTGTCCGTATCTTTTACAGAAATTGAGAAATATTGGCTCAAAGTTGACTTACCGTATTTCCTATTACAGTATAACATCCAATTTCGAGCTCAATTATCTTGGTTCCTGTGAAAGATATCAGAAAGTTTTGAACTTACAAAATGTTTATCGCAGTATCAAAAATATTTTATTAATTGCCAACTTTTAGGTTTATTTTACAGGAACCGAGATAATTGGGCTCAAAATTGTAAGGGGATTTCAGGCTTTTTTGGAGTTTGTGGGCATTTTGAATTCTCAAAAAGATTCTGAAAAAAGCCAAAAGACATACAAATATATAAAATTGAGAATCCTCGAATCTTACATTTTAGAAAAAAAAATCCAATCGAAAAACTGAAAAAAAAAACCGGAAGCTCCTAATTTGAAAACGATTTCTAATCGATTCAAAGGTGGATGGATGTGTGCGTGTGTGTACTGAAGCATCCTAATTACGGAGCAGGTGTCTCCTCCTTGACTACACATATAGTCTGAAGAAGAGAAAACAGGCGGTGCATGATGGAGGGACATGTGTCTCACACACAGAGTTGACCTTGATGACTGACTGCCAAAACACCAATGTATGAGGAAAAGGGTTAACCGGAGTAAAAGAAGGAGGAGGAGAAGGAGGGAAAAGTGAGGAAGGATCAAGGTAAGAAGAGGAAGGAGACGTCATTTCCCTCAAGTGTATCTTCACCCCTTCTGTCATAAATAGCTATTGAAAAGTATCAGAGACACCACTTGGAGAAATAACTATCTTGGTTTGGCTAGAGAAGGATTACTGTACCACTCAAAAGCCGGATAATTTCATAAGGCTCAAGCTGACAAAGGAGCGTCTTTCAGTGACCGGTGGAGATTTTGCTGAAAACCCGTTGTCACCAAAAGGGGCCAAAAATTGATCTGAAAATATTTAGCTGATTTCGGCGCACAGCCCTTCCCCTCTCTACCCTTTCATGTCCTTCTCAACTTTTTCATGTGAAAGATATCAAAAATCTATACACTAATAAAATGTTGGTGACATTATGATGAACATTTAATCAGTTGAAAAATTTTTGATATCTTGCATAGTAACCGAGATAATTGAGCTCAAAGTGCACGTATACGGTAAGCTTCTAATAGAGAATTTGCTGTATCAGGAAATGTCAAATTCAATTCTATCGAGACTTGGATTCTGAATAATTTATTACTGATTACAAAATTTTGAAAAAAAAACACTAAAAATCAAAAACATATCAAAAACTTCTTTCGCTTCTTCACGACTCCTTTCACATTTTTCATCATTGTATCGTCCCACTGCAAGCTTAATTTCGAAAAATAGACATTTGTTTCTTCACTCGTCGATAACGTTTCCTTGATTTTGAAATCTTCTGGGAAAATTCTTCCGAAGAATGGTTTCAGGAAAATTCGAATGATTTCAAAACGAAGGAAATATTGTCGGAAATTTCGATCAGCAAGGGCGCACACACAGAAAGCCACTTGTGCGTATCTGGAAAAATATGGTATTCTGAGATTCTGAAATACTAACTTTGAGCCAATTTATCTCGGTTTCTGACGAAGATATCAAAAAGTTATCAACTGATAAAATATTTATTATAATATCACTATCATTTTATCAGTTGATACATTTTCGATATCTTTCACAGGAAATGAGATATATAGGCTTAAAGTTGACATTGTGAGGGCCCGTTTACTGTAATCCAGGATTACATGTTTTGAGATTCTGAAGTTCTAAATCAAACTCTCAAAAAACTCACACAGCTATTCCGAAATTCAAAAATGAGTGACAATATTTCACCAAAACTGGATAGTTTTCTTTGAGGTGAGCATGATTGGAAACTGAAAATTCCATAAGATAACAGGCGAATTTTCGAAAAAGCTCACCAACTAAAAATCCAGCAAGAAGAGTATTGGAGACGGTGACGACAAGAATGCAGTTTTGAAGCCACTGGAATAGAAATCAAGGATTTAAAATGTTCAAATACAGTGGCGAACGTTAGTGAGTGTCCCTCTATACTTTTGTTCATAACTTTGCTCAAACTTCTCCAATAATTGAAAAATTTCTTGTTAAATGTAACTGGGTTTCCAACAAAACGTTGCATAAGTTTTTTGAAACTCAATAAATTTTTGTGTCTTCTGAACCTTCACAGACGTGACGATGACTCCAGAAAAAAAAAAAATTCCGTCAGAATTTTTTTAAAGATTGGCTTTGTAATTACAAATGTTTGGCGTAAATCAATTGTATACAGAAAAAAAATTGAAGCGGTTTGGAACACTTGCTCTTGAGATGTGCTCACTGGAGCATAACATGTTTGGTTCTGGAGTTTGTTTGGCTATAACTTTGGCTGGCTATAACAGTTTGGCTGGCTATAACTCGACTCAAGATGATCCCAATTTGTCTTTAATTGCTTTGCAATATACATACAAAACTTTGCATTTTGGGAACAAAAAAAAAGCGTTTCATAATACATAGCTTGTCTTCGGTACATAAAAATGAAAAAAATATGAAAAATTTTTGTTCTCAAAATACAAAGTTTTGTATGTATATTGTAGAGCAATTTGAGATACACATTCTCTCAAAATTTGACTAATTTTGGACCATTTTCAGCCAAGTTATAGCCAAACTCCAGAACCATACCTTTTATGCTCCAATGAGCACATCTCAAGAGCAAGTGTTTCAAACCGCTTCAAATTTTTTTCTGTATACATTTGATCTACACCAAACATTTTTCATAACAAAGCCAATTTTTTTAAAAATTCTGACGGAAATTTTTTTTCTGGAGTCATCGTCACGTCTGTGAAGGTTCAGAAGACACAAAAATTTATTGAGTTTCAAAAAACTTATGCAACGTTTTGTTGGAAACCCAGTTACATTTAACAAGAAATTTTTCAATTATTGGAGAAGTTTGAGCAAAGTTATGAACAAAAGTATAGAGGGACACTCACTAACGTTCGCCACTGTATGTATATAGCTATCTCCTCTATTAGAAGTCTACCCAAACTTTGAGCTCAACTACCGTAAACACTTTGAAAGCAGGTCAGCCTACACTTACATTTTGAGCTAAATTATCTCGGTCCCTATAAGAGATATCAAAAATGTGTCAATTGATAAAATATTGGTGATATTGGGATTAACAATTTATTAATTGACAGATTTTCGATATCTTCTGAAGGAAACGAGATAATTGATCTCAAAGTTTTGGTGGACTCTATTGAAGGAAATACGGCATGCTTATGACAGCTCGGAGAGACTAAATCTCAAAAAATGTGGTTAATTATATTTTTTGTCTGAAATTACGAAAATTCATACCTTCATAATTTTCAAATTTTCATTCAGCTGAAATCTCAAACTCAATGTGTAAGACTGCTGGATATCTCTATTCTGACAAACTTCCATATTCGTTTTGTTCAAACTATGAAGTGTCCAAAATAATAAAATTGAGACGATATTTAGAAACAGGCCAAGTGATACTACCGATATCAAATTGAACAGAAGTTCTGGAATATTTCATTTGTTTATTTTAAGATCCCCTAATTTAGGTACGTTACCATAATGAAATACCATTGAAGCTATGAAACCAGCAACAATATTAGTACCAACTAATAAAAAAGATACCGATTTGTACTTTTTGGATTCATAACTTGCCACCCAGATTGTGGCGAAATAGCGTTCAACAGCTAGTAGCAGGGTTCTGAATTTTAGGGGAATTAAACTTTAAAAAGAAAAAAAAACTTACAGGGAACATATGAGACACATAAAATAAACTCGGTAGATGCTACAAAGAAATAAAAGGATGAAGTATGGATTTGATAGTTTCCAGGGCCATTTTTGAGATTCTTCTTCTATTATTTCGTCTTCTGAAAAAATTGAAATTGGAGATTTTTTGTTTAGTAAGAACATCTTTTTTCTTTAATTTGAAAAAAAATCCAAGAATTCCGAACGTTAACGCTTTGATAGAATGACCCCCTAACTGTTTACTTCGATAATATTTATCTCGGTTCCTGTAAACAATTTCAAAAAGTTATCAGCTGATAAAATTTTGGTGATATTATGATAAATATTTTATCTATTGACAAATGTTTGATATCTTTCATAGGAAACGAGATAAATAGGCTCACAGTGGACTTACCGTACTTCTTCTAATAGAAGCCCACTCGGAACGTCAATTTTGAGCTCAATTATCTTCGATCCTGTGAAATGTAACAAAATGAAATCGACTGACAAAATGTTTGTAATATTATGATAAACATTTTATCAGTTGTTAATTTTTTGATATCTTTTACAGTGAGTGAGATATATGGGCTCGAAGTTGCCTGTTGGGGGCTCTAACTCCTAGGTCATGAAAATGGAAAAATTAACGAAGATTTCTAGGAATTTTTTATAGTGTGGTTGTTTTGGAATTTGAGAATTTTTCGTTTTCAGAAAAACTTTTATCAGAAACTCAAAAAATCGAAAACAAAAATGGCTCAGCTACTATGATCAGTGGATTTTGGTGTCTTACAATCAGACACTCATAAAAAATGAGTGTTATGGAAATCTGGAATACCATAAATGCTTGAGCTCAATTATCTCGAGTCCTAAAAGATCAATAAAAATGTGTCAACTGATAAAATACTTATCATAATATCACTAATATTTCATCTGTTGACAAATTTTCGGTATCTCTTATGAGAACCGAGATAATTGAGCTCAAAGTTTACATATAGGATGGGTCTCTTTCCGATCATTTATCATTTTTCTACAACTCACCCAATTTCAAAACTCCCACTTCAAAACCCATTATCACCGATCTAGCCATGATATCAAAATAATAGGCAAGAACGGTATATCCAAAAATACATTTCAAATTAAAATGAAGTTGATATCTGGTAAAATTGATGCCAGCAACAATGATTGCCACAATTTCAGAGACCAAGAGAATGAATTCCATCGCAACGATAATCAATAATTGAATGCGATCACTGTCGTCATTGTTGATTTTATGGTATTGAAGGAGCATTAAATTTATGTTAGCAAAATCGATTTTTTATAAAATAAATTTACAAGTGATTAAATGAATGTTTGTCTTGGAAAAAGTAGATGGAAAAGAAGAGAAATGAACAAGAAACGGCTTCTGATATTTAAATCAAGAAGCAGGTGAAAAAAATGAGCAATATTTGTTGTCGATTAAATTAATCAGAAAGAGAACCTAAATCCTAAACGAACATTCCTTAATTCATAATATCATCTAGAAATTTCCAGTTTTTTTCGCAAGACATTTCAGATTTTCTCATCTGAATTGTAAAATTTCAGTCATGCTAAACATACAGTACCAGTCAATGATATAAAAACGTATTTTTCAGTTAACGTTCCCTCATTTTGATCATTTTCAGGACTCTGGACAGTAAATTATAATATATTTATTATCACAAAAAATGAAAAAAAAATCAAAGACCCTTGTTATAATAAAGTTGTGATTGGCTGGTTTTCTGTTGAATCTCTGGCTCCAAAAGTTCTCGCGAAATCTGAAATATTGAGATTTTATTGATGACATTGTAACTCTATTATCTGGGTTCCTTCAAAAGATATAAAACATTTGTCATTGATAAATTATTCATCATAATATTACCACTAATTTATCAGTTGATCACTTTTTGATATCTTTCACAGGAACCGAGATAATTGAACTCAAAGTGGACGGTTCGTATGGGCTTCTATCAGAGGAAGTACAGTATCTTTAGAAAACTTACAGCGCTTTCCTGTGGGAACAGAGCAAGAGCCACTGGCAAACTGACGGCAAACGATAGGGTGCACACGATGGCGTTGACGAAAATGTGACGAACTTGGGTTTTGGTGACCCATTTGAATCTGGAAATTATTTTTCAAAAATATTAGTATTCTATAAATTCAAACCTCTCCAAAAACGGCATAATGCACGGGGGCATCAGAAGAAGTGGAACCGGGAGGAATGCTCTCACCAATGTTGTATCAGTTACAGCTTGCTTTGCAGCGGCCTTCGATACTCCAACAACTTTTCCAGTGCCTTTTTCGTAAACTTCAATTCCGGTCTCCATTTCATTCCAACGCATACAGATGACATTGAGTGATGAGGCGAGGGATGTGGCTGGTAGAGGGACGAATCTCTGGAAGCTTGATTTTTGTAGTTTTCATCAGAATTTCAGAGGTTAGATGTTTACAGTAAAATTTCTCTTTGGTTTAAACTTTCAGAAAACGCTCTATCGTAAACACTCTAAAAGAATGCTTGTCAATTTTGATCAACTTATCTCGGTTACTGTAAAACATATCAAAAATTTGTCAACTAATAAAATGTTTGTCATATCATGATGAACATTTTATCAGTGGACCAATTTTTGATCTCTTTCACAGGAAACGACATAAATTGGCTGAAAGTTGAACGTTGAGGGTGGCGTTCTATTTTTTTTCTAAATTAAAAGAAGAATTAGAAGAGGAATCTCGAAAATGGCCTGGACACAGGGCCAGTCAACTTCGAGCTAATTTATCCCATTTCCTATAAAAAATTTCGAAATTTTGTCAACTGATAAAATGTTTGTGATACTATGATAAACAATTTATCAGTTGACAAAACTTTTATATTTTTCACAGAAACCGAGATAAATAGGCTCAAATCAAAAACTTAGAATTTTTTTCATTTTTTGAAAATTTTGTTAATTTGATTAGAGCTTCTGCCCAGTACAATTCTTGAAAAGGTACTTTGATTAAAATAGATGATACTGTAATTCCAAAAATTACTGTAATTCCAAAAATTTATTTTTCCGCATCTTTCAGAAAAGTGAAGCTATCATAAAACATGTATTGGAAGGGCCCACATGCTGTCAAGTTTGAGCTCAACTTATCTCAATTCTTGTGCCAAATATTGAAAATGGGTCAATTGATAAAATGTTAGTGATATTAGGATAAACAATATTTAACCGTTGACAACTTTATTAAATACTTGGCAAGAATCGTGAAAAATCGGTTCAAAGTTAAAAGTTAGGGAGCCCTTGTATTACAGGTTTTACGCTATTTCAAATTGTTTTCGGAAAACTTTGAAATGTGAAAAACTATCTCACCTGAATAATGAGTCTTGTAGTTGGTGGCAATGAAGAAGCCTTCTTGATGAAATAGGTCAACCCTCCAGAAATCGAACAAGCTGCTGTAACAGCTGCTCCATAAGCTCCGATATATTTTGATAATGGTTGAGGCTGTGTGGCATTTCTATTGGCATAATTGACACACGCATTATGAGACTGATTCATCCATTGCCAAAACAATAAAGTAGGCCAAGACGGGTTTGGAAGCAACATTCCGGTTACAGTAATCCATCCGAATGGTACAAAACCACTCATACGAAATGGTGGAAACACTTTTTCTCCGGTATCTGAATGTAAGACGGCGGATTTTAGTTTTTGAGCTTCCCAGAGGGCTTTGTCTGGAACGTTGAGCGCAGTCCCGGATTTGTAGGCATCGAGAAGCTCGAGAGATTCTTCGAGTTTTTTCTGGAGTTTTTTTTTGTGATTTCTGTGTTCTGGGAGACTAAAAAACTTACATTTGAAGCGAAAAGAGTTCTCGGATCAATCACATCCAGACAATGAAGATATCTTCCAAGGAATGTGTCTTGAGGGAATCTAGTTTCACCAAGTTTGAATTTCGGATATGTTGGATATCCGAAAAGAGTCTCCGGTTGAGACATTGTTATCTGAAAAATGGGAATTACAAAAAACTGTATTAGAAGATATCTTTTACAAGAACCGAGATAAATGAACTTAAAATTGACTGTTTGGGGACTTTCAATTACAGATTTTACAGTCTAAAGAAGCAATTTAATTCTAAGTGAAAGAGAAACTTGAGAGGAATTCAAAATTAATTTGATAAATGAGAAATTTAAAGGTTCGTCTCTGGAAACTATTGAAATACTTCGAAACTCAAGTGTTTCATTCAGAATTTCAAAATAAAAAATTTCAGAAGCTAAGAATTTCGGAATATCAAAATCTCAGAATCTCAGTTTCTCAGAACCTGAAAATATCAGGATTTCAGAATCATTAAGAATACTTTGGCGAATTTCAGAATTTCCAAATTTCAGAATTCCCAAATTTCAAAATTTCAGAATTTCAAGATTTCAGAATTTCAAAATTTCAAAATTTCAAAATTTCAAAAAAAATTCAGTTTTGGAACTGATGTTTTGCAAAAAAGGAAAAGCGGGAAACAAAACAATAAAACAAAAGAAAAAAGTGAAGTTTTATCGAGGGATCATCACAGAATTTTGGAAAAATGAAGAGTATAAAAAGAAAGGGTGAAGAAGAAACGTAAGTTCAAATCTTGCAGCAATCGATTGAGCAAAAACTTCAATTTCTGCATCATATGATTCCGAAACAGGGTACCGGAAAGAGGTGACTGTTCAGAAGGACACATATTCTCTACCTCGAATGGAAAATCACCTCCTATATGGGAACATTAATTTTGGGTTGATAGATATCGAATAACACGATTGAGCCTTCAATTTTATCTTTTGAACATATCATTAAACATTCTACATATAATAATTATATCATCCTTATCATCATTCTTATAATAAATAAATGAAATCGCATCTCTTTAACTGTTTCTTTGTCCTCACGATCTTGAAAAGCTAGAAATTAAATATAAATTGACGTGACCTTTCCAAAAAGAGTGAGGAGTGGAGCGGCGAACAGTAAAATAAATAGGTTAACTCGCGCCGTAGCCGCACCAGCCAGCTGGCCGGTTACGACTAAATACAGACGGATTCTGGTTAATAAAACTTTATGAAATGTACCAGGTGGACTTCCGCGTCTAAGAATGAACAAACACTACTATCCTTCTTTGAGTTGTTCAATTAAATTCCGAGACAGGCAGACAGATTAAAGAAAAGTTTCGACTGTAAAAAGAAGGTAATTTCAAAATTTCAGAATTTCGAAATTTCGAAATTCAGAATTTCAGAACCTCAGATCCTCTTTAAAATTTCGGATTTTTAGAATCCCAGGATCTCAGGATCTTATAATAAAATCTCAAAAGCTCAGAATTCGAATTCAAGAATTTCAGAGTCTCGGAATTTCGGAATTTCAAGTTTCAGGATTTCAGAATTACAAAATCTCAAAATCTGAAATTTTTGAAATTTAAAAACCGCAGAATATTAAAATTTCAGAATTGACTCAAAAAACTCAAATTTTCAGATACTACAAAGAATTTTCTAATCCTTCTAAATCCTTCATTAGTAAAATTAGATGTTTCTTTTTTGGGGTAAACCAAACAATATGAAAATCCAATTAGAAAATTTTCGTATAGAGTGTGAAACACAACAATTTCAAATTGATACCAGCCGTAAAAAAGAGAGAAACAGTGAGAAAAGAAGAAGAAACAGAAACCAATTGGTCAGTACATTGAATAGTGTAAAACAGAAAGAGAAGAGAAATAGTGTTGAAGGTCATGAGACACAGGCAATCATTTGACAGTTGTTGTCTTTTTGATAAACGGAAAATGGAAAGAAAATGGGTGGGAAGTTGAATTGAAAAATAAAAAAGAGAAGGAGAAAAAGAAAACGGAGTCATTTTGGAAGGGAGATGGATATAAATTGTATATACGAGAGTGTAGGAGATTTAGAGAAAAAGGGAAAAAAAGAAGGAGCATAAAAAAAGGCCTAGAGATGGGAAAGCAGAAGCCAACTGGGACCTTTTTCGTTAAGTTGGAAGAAGGAAAGAATGAGGATACTTCAGAATGAACTTCATAGAAAACATGAGACTTTCAAACACATTTTTTGAAATATTTCAGTAGTCAAAAAAATGAAAAATTTGTCAAAATTCGTTGTTCCAAGTCCTACCATTCTTTCGGACCTTTTTGTACTGAAAAAGTGAAAAACTGGTGCATTCCAGAAATTGGCAAAAATCAGAAAAACAAGGAATTTTCAAAATTCTCTGTGAATGCAAAGTTATCAATCTCGGTGTGTTTCCCGTTCTCCAAAATTTGCAGAGTGATCGGAAACATACATGATAGCAGAGCTCCAGACTCCTGAAAATCGTCAAAATGGCCGAAAAGCATCTGAAAAATCTGTTTTTGTATATCTTTTTGACCGGTACCGTACATAAAAAATGAGAGAAATTGCGAAAAAAAACACGGATCATGAAGTTTTCTGTTGGAAGACGAGACTCTATTTTTTGGTACCAAGTACAATGTATCGATGCTCGAAAACTGCTATACAGACTTTTGAAGAACGTATGTAATTTTGAAAAATTTCGAGATTTCGGAGCTGGCCGCTGACGACTTATCGACTTTAAACAATGATACAGTTTTCGAAAAAAAATCTCATTAATGTTGGCGGCGTCACCAGATGAGCTACAGAAGAATAAATGAAAGCGGAGCGAGAGTCTGTGTGAACACTAATCACTGTACACCTTCACGTCGGAATGCATACCGTATCTCTAAAAAACTCTGCAAGTCTCCAGTCTCCCCTCCTTTGAGGTTCCGAGCGAATTGATGTAAAACTTGTAACAGAAGAGCCCCTAAAACCGTAAACTTTGGGCAAATGTATCTATTTATATAAATTTTAGTTATCTTTTACAAGAAACGAGAAAATTTGGCTCAAAGCATTTATTCTACAACTTCTTCAATGATACATAATCTGCTATATCCACTCTTCATATGAAGCGTCTTCTCCACATCTACTCCTTTGATCTACATTCTTTGGAACATTCAGAAAAAGTACGACAGAGCGTATTTACATAAATCACTCTTCTTTCTATGAGAATTGGGTTATGGGTTACTAGAAAAAAAAACAGACAAGCATTTCCTATCGGATTCGGCCATCTGCCACACACACACATACCTTCTCCCGTGTACTATTTCTCCATGGTTTTTTCAAAATCTGTTCATTCTTGTTCTTCTCTTTTTTTTTCATTCTTGTTCTTCATCGAAGAAAAGGTCATTCGGGAATTCGAAGAGAGATTTAGAGAAAGACAAAGAGAGACTAAATTCAGTTTTTACTATGCACCTATTCAAACGGACACTCTTCTCTGTTTGGTCAGATTTTATGACGACTGTGGGACCGTTAATTTATTGGTGTACTTTAAGGTTATATTTGCCCAATTTTAGTATAGCATGATTTGGTTGCCTTGGGACTATTTAGTATTCAGCGCTTTTTGAATTTCAGAAATTATGTTGGGCTTTTTAATTAAATTAGTTTTGAAGCTTAATTTTTTAAACTTCAAAAATATCAAGCTTGTTTTTTAATTGGAAAATCAATTTCTCGATTTTTCATGAGTCATTATTTACCTACCTCGCCTAATAGTCGTTTTCAGATATACAGATGTTCTCCTTGTTTGTTTTTGACACCCTATTTTTTTCGTAAAAAATAGAATCCTCAAGATTTTTTTTTCTTGAAATATTTTATGGTCTTCTTTTTTTTGGTGCATTTATAATTGGCTGAACAACAAACAACTTTTTCAAAACTCAAATTATATAATTTCAAAAATCAGGCTGATTTGAAGAATCTAAAATTCAAGTTTTCGAGTTTTTTCAAATTTTGAGACTCTTTATTTTTAGGTTTCCGATGAAACCCTGAAATCATGAGATTCTAAAATTTCAAAGTTTCAAGATTCTGATACTTTTAGGGGCTGAGAGCTTTGAATTCCAATCACCGTAAAACCTGCATTAGAACGGACTTTGAAATTAAAAAATACCGTACGTTTTCAGTGAAAAATATTCCGAAAATTCCAAAGTTTCGCAAATCTGTTGAAACCCAGTTTTTATCAAAAAGTTGTAAAAATTTTTGGAATAAATAATCCCTCTAATAGAAGGGCCCTCCGGAGGTACCTTGGAACAATAGAAGGACAAGCCCTTCTAATACAGGTTTTACGGCATTTCATAACTCCAAAGTTTGTACATTTGAAGTTCTAAAATTCCAGAAGTCCCAAGCATTCAATTTCTTGAATTTTTAGAATATCAGAGCCTCAAAAAACCAAAATTCCAATATTGAAGACAAAGTTGAATCACGAATTCCTGCCGAAGGTTTTTTTTTTCATTCGGAAAACCTCAAAACTTTGCAGCATCACAAAAAACTAAAATTATTCAATAACCCACTATTTATTTCTTCTCCTCTTTTACTAGGCCATCAAATATCTTACGTCACAAAACGTTCGGAAAAAACCTTTATCATTAATCACTCGACTTGCAACATAATCGGAAAAAGTTATCGCTAGTATGTCCCAATTTTTTCCTCCGATTGAATATAATTCTAAGATTTCCTTGATTTTTTCCGATCACCCATCGATCATTCTATTCCTCTCTGTCCGATTCTTCTTCTCCAGTAGGCAGACCAATCCTTTTTCTTCTTCTTTTTCTGTGAATAAAAGAAGAAAAAGGGGAAGGAATTGAGGCCGTGTGATATGATAAGCAGCAATCGATTTCCTCTCCTTCTTCCTAAAAAGCGAATGCTTCTCTCTTCCTCCAAACATTTTCCTCTCCGACAGAGAGAAAATATCACCAACCATTATCATTCATTCACACTTCTTTTCCATTAGTTTTAGACTCGTCACATTCTCTCTTATCAGTTACATACACCCTTTTTTCACTTTTTTCGATCAGTCATCAACATTTTCCAATTTTTTATATGTTTTAATAACTTTTTTCAATCTTTCCTTTGAACTCAATTATTTCGATTTACAAAATACCGTGAAGCTGTGATAGAACGCCACCACCAAACCTTTAACTTTGAGCTCAATAATCTCACTTCCTGTAAAAGATATCAAAAAGATGTCAACTGACAAAACATTTATCATAATTTCAAAAACATTTTGTTCGTTGATCACTTTTTAATATCTCTCCCAGAAACATAGATAAATTGGCTCGAAGTCAAAAGTTAGGGACGCCGTTCTATTAGAGTGTTTTTACGGTTTTCGCCAAGAAGAACCCGTTCGATATAGTTGAGAACTTTTGTATGTTTTTCTCAGGAACCGAGTTACTGTGTTTATCAAATTCGTTTATCTAAACAGGAAATTTTAAATTTTAAAACTTTTTTTGCAGGATGAGCACACGATATGACTATGGGTTACTTGAATTCACAGCTAATTTGTAAGTTTTTGAATTTTCAATTTTAATATAATTTTTTGTTAAAAAATCCTCTAAAATAGGAACATGATTTCTAAATGTTTTTTTAGATAATGAAATTTTTAACCTGAAAAAAACTTCTAACTACTTTTACAAAAGCTGGGAAACGCCTAAAATAAGCATGACTGTAATAGAGCGTCACTCAACTTTGAGCGCGATTATCTCCATTCATATGAGAGATATCGAAAATGTATCAACTAACAAAATGCTGTTAATATTATGATCAAAATTTTACCAGTTGACAACTTGTATATATCTTTGACAGGAACCGAGTTAAACTGGCTCACAAACGGAAACCCTTCTATTACAGGTTTTAAGGTATAAACCTCTATTTTTGAAAATGACTTAGTCATCTCATGGATACTGTCTCTATGATTTAGAATTTCTGGACTAGCTCTATGATTTAGAATTTTCTGAATTTCAAAAAAGTTATAAATGTTTGTTTTCTGGACTTTTGAGAAAGTGAAGAACGCGCCAAAGGCTCGTCAGCTTGCCTATTTGTATCTTCAAAACATCATTTACATCAAGGATTTCATTTTTGAGTAGACAATTTAAAGTACTTCCAAATCAAGAATCAATCAGACCATTTTAAAGGGCGGAAGCAGAAGCAACCTATGGTCAAAAACTGCAATCAATCATTGACACGTTCTCACAATCGAGGTGAGACTAATCTATATGTCTATGCCAAACTGGTTCCATTCAGACTAGACCTCCCAATAAAACGACTATCGGAAATCGCAAAAGTGCACACTCGAACAGCGGCAAACCTGAAAAAGTACATGGATCCAAAAAAGAATGAACACTTGAACCTTTGGAAATTCTGCAATGTTTATTCGTGTGGAGCTGTGGATTTGGATAAAGCGATGAGAGAAACTAGATCATCGTTGAGGACAAAAATGGCAGTTGACGGAACTGTGATAGAGAAACCGAAACGGAGAAATATCTTTAATTCAATTCAGAATCATTTGAATTCGTCGTCATCCTCATATTCTACGAAATCAGCTGAGAATAGCGAGAAAGTTGAGAAGGATAGACGATGGTTTCCAAAGCTTCCGGATCGAAAATTGGAGTTTAGAACGAGTAGAAAGACAACGTCTTCTAGTGTGGAAGAGGAGAAAGTGGTGGTATCTGGATCTATGTCAACTCCCCAGACTCCTCAAATTGTTAGAGCACATTCACAGTTGACGGTAGGTTTCAGTTGAGAAATTCTAAAATTTAACGGTATATAAATGTTTACAGATTTAGTTTAACTTGCTTGAAAATAGTCAAAAAAGCAAAAATAGAGCTTTAATTCGCACTAATTGAAGGGTCCCTGTAATATAAGGGCTCTCGGAGATTGGCTTGAAAAGGTAGAATTTTAGTTGAAACACTGTTGTTTTACTAGAAAACTGGCTCAATTTCGGTAAAATTGATAGATTTTCGTGGATTTCAAACGAATATTCACCGGATTTTCCAATGAAAAATTTCGGGAAAAATGACTGGAAAAATAGAAGGGCCCCTCTAATTGAAGGGCCACTGTAATAGGAGGGCCCTCCGGAGCTACCTTGGAACAATATAAGAGGCGACCCTTCTAATACAGGTTTTACGGTATACTCTTTGGAACACGAAATTTTCAAAATTAGAAATCTCATTTTTTTCGTTTCGATAAATTTTTCTCATGAAAGTTTTCAACTACGAAATTGAATATATTTTTATGTATTCTCCTAAATTTTCTCATACCAAAATTAAAGTAAAACTGAAGCTCTCTGATACGATGCTCGAGAAACATCCCGTAAAATCTGTAAAAGAAGGGTCACCATATCGTTACCTTTGAGCTTATATATCTCGGTCCCTGTGAAAGAAATCAAAAATTTGTCAACTGATAAAATATTTTTCATAATATCACCAGTGTTTTATCAGTTGACAGACTTTTGATATCTCTTATAGAAACCGAGATAATTAAGCTCAAAGTTAAAGTTAAAGAGGGGGCTTTACATGTTTTACGATTATTGTTTTTTAAGAATTTTTGAGCATCAATAAAATCTTGGATACTAAAATTTTTTCCAATTTTTCTCTTTTCAGTCAAGCGTCTCCGTTGCTCCAGACCTTCAAGAAAAACCACCACGTCCTCCGATCCGAACCACTGTTCCCGAACCAACGCCTATTGCTCAGCCTCCAGTCAGCGTTCCTGTCTACACAACTCAACCATACGCTACACCAATTTATGGAGATCTTCAGAAAGCGTCGAATCCATTTGGAATCAATAACAACATTAATAATAATCGAATGGGAATTGTTGAAGAGCACTTGTTACGTCATCAGGATGATGCTCAGACCAGAGAAATGGCAGTGGTTCGAATTCGAACCGATGTCGATGTTTATAAAGAGATGAAGAAGAATGGTGAGAGAAAAGATATCTAGAAAATTCTAGAATTCTGAAAATTTCCAGAAGCAATCATGAATGTCTATGATAGTCCACTTATCAACAAAAGTCACTATGTCAACATTCGACCGCCAATCGCCCAGAAGCCAAAGATAATGGCTCCAGGTTTATATTTTTTGAAAGACTACAGTAGAGCGAACTTTCAACTTTTCAGCAGTACCATCTCCACCAAACGAAGATGTGTCGCCGACATTCATTTCAGTGGAATGCTATCAAGCGGGAGCACCTACACCATCTCCAAGGAGGGCATATTATAATACGGTAGGCAAGTTGGAGGTCTTGAAATTCAAAAAAGGATAATTTAAAGCAAAACAATGCCTTTAAATCTAACTAAAAATCAACTGTCTAGAACTCTTAAAAGCTGAGATACACCTCTCCAAAGTTTCACAAGCTAGAGACGCAGACGACGAGACACACTGCGTCTCTAACCTCCCAAACTTCAAATGACTGTGTCTGGCTTTTAGAAGTCCTAGAAAGTTGGTTTTTTGACAGAATTACAGGAAATTTTCTGCTCTACAAGGCCATAAGGATTTAATCTAAAATTTAATTGTTTCCTTCGTCATGCACTAAAAATGAAAGCTTCAGCTCAATTTTGAAAAAAGATATGGTGATTCAAAATTTTTGATTTTCGAAAGTTTTCGGTTAGAAAATTCAATTTTTTTCAATGTTCTGACGATTCTTGTGATCTTCAATTTTTAGTTAGAAGATCTTAAAATTCAAATACTCTATTCCAGAACGACATCCCATCATCTCAACGGTCCTCTTCTTCTGCCTATTCTTCTAACTATTCATCTGCTTCCTCTTCAAACGTGACGTCATTCGCCGTTGACAATCCACCTTCTTCTACTGATTCCTCAAATCAAAACCTGACTCCAGGAGTCGTTGAAAATGCACGATACGTTCGTATCGCTTCACCCGATGGCGTTCATCACCGGTTTTGAAAAAATTAATGTCATTTTGAAATCATTATTATACAAATTTGAAATCATAAAGTCTTCATGATATTTTTTTTTTCCTTGAATGCACAACTTTCACAGTGTTTAGCCCACCCTATAACTTTGAGCTCAAATATCTTGGTTCTTAAGAAAGATATCAGAAATTTTTCAACTGATAAATCATTTATCACAATATCACCAATATTTTATCAGTTGACATGCTTTTGATATCTCTCACAGAAATCGAGATAATTCAGCTCAAACTCGACAGCACGGGGGTCCTTCTTTTACAGGGTTGACGGTATTTCGAGGACTACGAACTGTCCATAAATGCATCAGGAAAGTGAGGAAAATTCCAAAAATTCCGAGAACTGGAGAATCAAAAAAGTGGAACCAAAAGAGTACTGTATTTGCATCTCGAACGGAAAAAATTATATATCACACATAAAACGAATTCCAATAAAAATCTCTTTATTCTTACACACAAAACTAATACAATATTTACTACTATAAAATAAAACTGGAACATTTATTTTGACGCATTCTCCGTTTTCTCTTCTTTTGAGCTCTTTTCCGGCTCCTAGTAATGCTCAATGCACGATGCCAAATCATTGAGCACTGGCAGCTGATATTCCGATTCCATCGACATTTGGTTGACAGGCATAAATGCTCCATAATTGTTGTAATTGTGCGATGGAGTAGTGTTGACTGGCTCAGCGACACGTTCAACGACAATTGGAGCTGGTGGTGCTTGAACTGGCGTTTGAGCATTCTGAAATTTTCAAAAAAAGTTAAATGAACTACTGACAATTCAAATTTACTCACTCGAATCATTCCTCTGAATCTAGAAGTGACGGCTGGAGACGCTGGCACCTGGGTGACGTCTTCTGTAGTTGTGACTCCTTGATCATCAGTCTCCTCGAAACGTGGCTGAGCAATCGGAGCCTGGGCCGTCGGATTGACAAGTGTGTACGAGTTGTTTTGAGCGTACGAGACGGGAAGAGCTTTCTGCGCGTCGTAGATGAATTTGTTGTCGTTGGCCATTCCAATGTATTCAGAAGGTCCACAGACGACTTTCGAGTAGTTGTTGGCAACCGGAGCTGGGGAGTAGTTAACTTGTTGCTGAGGAGCCGGAATCGAGTAGTTGGCCGCTGGAGCCGAAGTTGGTGTGGCAACATGCGCTTCCGGAATCTCTTCTGGACCATCTTCGTCACGTCCTTTGCGGTTGAAGCAGTATCCAGACTCCTCGTCATCGTACTGGAAATTAAATTAGAATCTAAAACAAATTTTTTAAATTTACCATTTTCTGAAGAACGGGAGCTTTATTCGGAGCAGCTTTTGGTTGTTGCTGTTGTTGAACAACAGGAACCTCACAAACCGGTTCAGCCACCTGTTGCTGCTGAACTTGCAAAGCCTGAAGCTGAGCAATCAATTGTTGCTCTGTGAACAGTGGCTCTGGTGCCTGAGTTGCTGGGGCCGATGCTGGCTGTTGCGGCGACGACGTGGCATAGTTGAGCAGATAGGACTGTGGAATGTCCGTTGGTCCACCGCCATAATAGTTCGAGTGCACTTCTGGACGCTCGGCGATTGGCGGAGCAGCTGGAGCACGAACTGGAGAAGCTGGAGCCGAGTTGGTCGAAAGGACCGAACGGTAGATACGAATAGCCTCTCGGATTTGAGCCGGGGTTAGAGGATCCTCGGCGATCGGAGTGTGAGCTGGGATGGCAGCGGTGGTGAGGGGGGATGCTGGAAAAAAGATTCTTTAGTTTGATGATTTTTAATTGAATTCAAAATTACCATTTTCCTGTTGTCGTGGCTGTTGTTCCACCTTCTTCTGATCAGCATAGAAGCTTTGTGCAAACGACATCTTTTGTTGTTGGAGTTTGGGTGTACGAGAGGAGACGAAGAATAAAAAAACTCGTCGGTTCGAGGTACTGGATGTTTCAAGTTTCTCTTTCTCTTTTTTGGATCTTATAAAGGGGCGGAGCTTTGAGAAATGTGGAATAGGGTGGTGCTTTTTGAAGGGGTTACGTTTTTAAATAAATTTCGTAAAATCGAAATTTTCAAGTTTCAGAAAAAAGCTCTATGATCTCGTTTCCTGTGAAAGATATCAAAAACTGGTCAACTGATAAAATTTTGGTGATATTGTTATAAGCATTTTACTAGTTGATCACTTCTTGATATCTTACATAGGAACCGAGATAACTGAGCTCAAAGTTTGAAGTTATCATTTTCCTATTCTCTCTCATAGAAACCCACCCCATACGCGCTCTTTGAGACCAATTATCTCGGTTCCTATAAGAGATATCAAAAACCTGTCAACTGATAAAATATTTATTACGATATTAGTAATATTTTATTAATTAACAAAATTTTGATATCTTTTACAGGGATTGAGATAATTGAGCTCAAAGTTGAGGGTTACCTAATAAAACGACGTCATTAGCATTCAACTTTGAGCTATATTATCTCGGCTCCCATAAAAGATATCAAAAATTGGTCAACTGATAAAATATTGGCGATATTGTGAATAACATTTTGTCCGTTAAATATTTTCCGATATCTTTTGAAGGAGCCGAGATAATTGCGCTGGAACGTAGTTACCATACTTTCTCTGATAAAATCCCAAGCTATACATGATATTTGAGTTCAATTATCTCAGTTCCTTCAGAAGATGTAAATGGTCAACTGATAAAATATTTGTGATATTGTGATAAATAATTAATCAGTTGAAAATTTTCTGATATCTTTTGAAAGAGCCGAGATAATTGAGCTCAATGTTAAGGTTTTGGGTGGCACCCTGTTAGAGTGGTTACGGTATTTAAATACCCTGATGTTTTTTTCGTTTTCTGATTTTTCATTCATTTTTTTGTACTTTCAAATCATGATTCTCACCCTAAATAAATTGAAAAAATGCTGGCGCGGCTGATAATGTTAATTGATTGATAAACAGAGATATCTTGCATTTACAGGAAAAAAAGACATAACAAATAATTACACGAGAAGTTGTGTCAAAAAATAACAGACACAATTCAAAAACACACCATCAAAATTGTATATATATATATATATATATATATATAGGATGAAATATATGATTTGAATACAAGAATACGATAGGAATTTTAAAGGTTTTCAAACTCCAGAAAAATGAAGACACAAACTTAAAAATGATAGAAATGGCGAAGAAGGAGGTTAGAAACGTACTGGAAAAAAAGGATAGAATATATGGACCCGTAGATCAGGCTTTCAGAATATTCTATCTAGAAAAAATGGGAGGAAGGGATGCCTAAATCTCAAAAAAGTTTAAGAAAATAAAAAATGAACTAATTAGGAGGAGGGTTTAAAAGTTGGTGAACAGCTTTCCGATATTCTCGTCGATCGCCAGCAGCATGCCATCCACTTTTCCTTGAGTCGCTGAGGTGCCGCAGAACTTTTCCGATAGCTCTTGGATCTGGAAAATATTGAATTCTTACTATTGGAATTGGATTGTTTCTTTCTACCATAAAACCTAGAAGGACCACAAACTGTCAAGTTTGAGCTACCGTATTCCCTCTAATAGAAGCCCGCCCAACCCGTCAACTTTGAGCTCAATTATTGTCAATTCAAAAAGATCGCACCGGTGAACTCACAAACAAACAAGTAAACAAGGGGGCGGAGCGATCCGCCCCTTTTCGCAAAGACGCCGCGCAGTTTTTCGACGGTATTTTAGCGATGCCGTTTTTCGGTAATTTTTCATCGAATTTCTTCCGAATTGAAGGAAATTCGTCGACTTTGTGAAGGAATATATAACTTTGTTATAATAAAAACTGAGAAACACAATTGGGAAACACTATTCTTTGGTTCAGGGTGAAAATGAAAAGAGCAAGACCATGTGACGTATCGAATCCTGCAATGATGAAAATAAGAGGTAGAAAAGCTTCGAGGCCACATAAAACATAAATTATCATTGCAAAGTTTCCTGAAAACCTGAAAAACTCGATCGGGGAAGTGTTTGGAGTAATTTGTCGACTAACAGCAGATTCATCACTTCTTCATAGTTGTGATACCAGAAGGCGATTTTTCTTATTAGTTGATAGATGAATTACAAAAAATTCGACGAATTTCCTTCAATTCGGAAGAAATTCGATGAAAAGTTACCGAAAACCGGCAACGCTAAAATACCGTCGAAAAACTGCGCGGCGTCTTTGCGAAAAGGGGCGGATCGCTCCGCCCCCTTGTTTACTTGTTTGTTTGTGAGTTCACCGGTGCGATCTTTTTGAATTGACAATATCTCGATTATTTTGAAAGATATTAAACATTTTTCAACGGATAAAATAAAGGTGATATTATGATAAATATTTTATCAATTGACAAAATTTCGATACCTTTTACAGGAACCCTGATAATTGAGCTCAAAGACTACGGTCTCTCAAAAAGAAAAACTAACCAATCGCAATTCTTCCGCTCCATCCAACACAATCACTTTCGGTCCTCGTGAAATCGAGTCCACCCATTGGTTCGTTGACTCTGTGAGGGCACTATGGAAAACGTGCGCACATGTTCTTTTCTGTTCCGATCGATCGACTTTTTCACCACTTCCAGCCACTTCGATTTTGGAGATCAGCGCCTGGTTGAGAGCAACAATATCAATCTCGTTCTGAAGAAAATTCTAGTTAGCGAAATTTTCCAATTCTCCATTCTTACCGAAAACCACGCATCTCGATCCAAGTTTTGTCTCCACAGCTGAAGCTGGGATAACGCACAACAAATCTCATTGACAAAAATATCCGGATTCAGCGATGCCTCACAACTCGTCATGTAGGTGGCCAAACTGTCCAATTTGTCATTCGTAGAGTTGAACAAATTTGTGATGATCTTGATGGCTCCAAGTACTGCGAATACTGTACAAGCGTCGATTTGCGCCTGATTCACAAAATAGATGGTGTCCTTTCCCAGAAAATCGGCACGAATCCTGAGGAATTTGTAGCACATCCGAGCATGTTTTGCAGCTACCAGTGCACAATACACATTCTCCAGATTCTCCTTCTCTCTGGCAGCTGTCGCGTAGATCGAATCTCCATTTTGGAAAGCGACAATCTTCTCCATCGAAATCCGACAGTGTGTGGCAATGAGACGTCCTAACTGGTACATGTGTGATAGTGTCAACACAATCGTCTCCATTGATTTTCCATTATCACTCGAGTTGGCACAGTGTCCCTCTAGTTCACCTTGAGCTCGTATCTTCAGAACGCCCAGGTTGGAGATTGCCATTGAGCGGACGAGCAAGTATCGGATGACTGGAATGTAGACTCGTTGTAATTGAGCAGCCACAAAGACCGAGAAGTGACTGTAAATGTCCTTTTCCATGTGTCTGATGAATGTCATGATGAAATGATTGTAGATACGCTCCGTGTCGTTTTCAGCGTCTCCGCGGAGTTCTTTGACGGAGTATCCTCTGAAATTAGGATTATATTGAGGCTAAAAGTTCCTGACTTACAAGTTCTTCTCAATGAATTCCGATCCTGTCTTGTCCATAGTCATTCGGAGATTGGAATCCAGAAGATCTATAGGGCTACTGAACGAGTCCCGATCAAAGTTCACAATCATCGTCCAGAGTCCTTGTGTCTACAAGAAGGTAATTAATATGATTCCAATTCCTCCCTCTTATCCCTAAACTTACTACATTCCTCATCTCTTGCATTTCTTCTGAACTTGCTTCCGGAATAGCGTATGAATCCAGACGACGCCCCAAAATTTCATTCGGATCTATATTCGCATTCTCGTCCTCCTGCATATGATCCTCTGATCGATACCAACTGAACTGAGTGGTTCCACGTGCCTCCTCGCTCGTCGGTTGGGGATTCTCGAGAAGTGCACTTTGTCTTTCCCGGTATTCTTGAAGACGTTTTCTGAATGCCTCTTTTTTCTCGGTCACATATTTCTGAAGATCCGATGGAAGCCTCTCGAAGGATTCCTGATGTGTCTCCGTATCTGGTTCCATCAACCAATGCGCATCTTTCTTCACATAAAGAAGAAGATATGCCGATGGGTCCGTTGAGATTCCTGTTCCAAACGCTTCCTTCTCAATTTGTGAATAATCAACCGGCGTTGCACTCTGATCGTTCAACTTCTCCCATTCCTCAAAACCATCGATTGATCTTTTGAGCTTATACATCCAGTAGTGTCCTCGATTGATCTCTCCCACATGAAGAATCATCGCTTTCAGCTCATAATTCTCCTTTTTCAACTCCTCGACTTCATAAATCCCCTGAATCTCCTGTTCCAGACGAGCCATAAACTCCAACAGGGCGGCTTCAGTCGACTTCAACTCGGACAGCGCATCTTTGAGTCCTCGGTTCATTGCATGCAGATCGGGAAAGGATTCCTCAAAAACTGGGAATATTTTCCCTTGGTCTTTGATGAAATTCAGTGAGTTTCCATAATTGTTTGGTGGCCGGAATGGCGACGGATCTTCAGACGTTCTGGAGTTGGTGGTGGCATTGAGAACGGACTGAAACGCATCAATCAGATTGATCACATTCAAGTTCATCGTTCCATGTGGATAATGATGGAGTCCATTCAGTCTTGCTCGAGCCTCAGATAATTTATTGCGAAGATCAGCAAGTTTAGCACGGAGAGGCGTAATCAGATCCGCGTTCTTCCTAATGTATCGATCCATAAAAATCTCTCGTGGGAACGTAAACTTGTCATGCAGCTTCGCTCCAGACTTTCCGAAATGGAATCTATTCAAAGACACGAAGAACACCGCCGGAAGAGCTTCATACATGCTTCGCGTGTTCACAGTTTTGTCTCCATCAGCTCGAACTTCGAATGTCGATGCTTCCAGAGCGTCGTGGAGATTCCCATACGACACTGGTAGATTGAAGCAAACTGGACAGTGCATGTTGGTGTTCACATCGCCGACCAATTCACCAGCTAAAAATTAAAGATGGTTTGAAACAAATTAGAATTCTAACTAAACTTACAATCTGAGAACTTCTCCATATGGGATGTGGCTTGGAAGATCTGCGCATAGTCATGCTTGATTTTCTCGACGAGTTCAATTGTTCTAGCATCCACAGCCTTCTCTTCCATCGCTTCTGGAGCTCTAGGATTCTCAACACTTTCAGCCTTCGGCCTTGCCTGTGTATCTGGTCCTTCTGATGTATCCATTGCCTCCTCAATCTGCGGCAAATCTGATGGAGATGTTCTCGGGGATTTGGCTGCTGGACCTCCGAAGGAATCACGTGCCGGTACATTCTTGACTGGCGAGTTCGCTCTGGATTCCGCCTCTCTTTTCACACTTGTAGACGATGCCAGATCTTGCACATTTTCCTGATACACCGGAGGTAGCGTGCCAGCCACGTCACTGTTTGGAGCTTGTTCCGACGAATGAGATATCACCATGTTGTTCTCCTCATCAATTACGCGTGTGAAGTTCGAATGGAGGTGTGCATAGATCGCCGCGTTGATCGAGTATCCCAACCACTGCATTATCAATGTCAGCATTTCAGAAGCATCCTGTTGTGATCCGATTGTAGATGGTCCGCCTTTCGCAGTGTAGAGACGATCGACAATCTGGAAATGTATAAAATGCTTTAGAGCAAAAAACATAGAGCACTAACCGTCAAGATCTCTCCGGCAACCACATGCGACTCCTCCGAGAAGTATAACTCGACGAAAAGACGTCTAAACCGGATCAGCAAGTCAGCGTGAAGCTCGAACTGAACTTGAACATTCTTGATGGGCTGCTCATGCCATGTCAATGGTGTACAATTGTACAAAACGGAACGAAACTTGGGGATACTGAAGAGCATCTGAGTGAGCGAGTTGAACCAACAAGTGTTGCCTTGATTGAATAATCCCACAGTTTTGTTTGGATCTCTTATCATCTCCTCTTCGTTTCTTTCCGTATTGTAGGCCGCCTGAGATGTCGATGGCTGAACGTGGCTTCTAGAAATCGACGTCTGCACGGTCTCTTCGGAGATAGATGGCATTTTTGGATCATAGTACGGAACGATATCCATGATTTCCGATGTTTGAGACGATGTGCCAGGTTTCATAGCGGGTCCTATGAAATTCGACGCGCTGTCCGCCTGCTCAGGAGACGACAAATCTTCGAACACCTTCGCCAGAAACGAATCCGTTACGCTCAGTGGACCTCGTTGAGAGTTTCTCTGAAAAATTACAAATTTTTGAATTTTTCATTTTTTTTTTATTTCTTCAGGTACATTTATTAGCATCAGGCTTACAGAACTATTTTACTCATTTTAGGTCTTAGGCAATCGAAAAAGTCAAAAATTAATATCCTTTGATTTCTTAAAGGGGGACTCCGACCAAAAATTTTTATTGCATTAAAATGTTTGAACAATTGTCTATTTTCCTAATATTATAGCGAAAAAATTCGAAAAAAATCCAAAATCCCCGAAAAATGCCGTTAAAAGCGAAAAATTTTCAAAAAAAAAGTTGCTAGGAGGGACGAGGATTTGAATTCCCGCGCAGTGAGAAACCTAGGCCACATCGCCTGACAACCGTTTTTTCAAGTGGCCGACAGTGGTTTTTTACA